TTCAACAAAATAATGAAGAGAGGGCAAAAAAAGCCCTCAAAGCCTGGGGCAGTCGAGCCCCCGGTCTCAACGGGCCGGCCACCGGACATCACAGTCAACCACGCCTCTCGCCAGCCCGGCCCATTAGCCCAGGCCCAACTCCCCATCCCCCAAAACCCCAGCGTAGTCGAGGTTCTCCCCTCCCTTAAGGACACCCCACTAGCCGAGCGTCACGCCCTTTTCATCCGAAAGGTCCGAATCTGCTGCATCCCTTTCGACTTCTCAGACACCATGAAATCGGCCCGCGAGAAGGAGATCAAGCGCCAAACCCTAACCGAGCTCGTCGACCTCGTCCAGTCGGGCTCGTGCAAGATGAAAGAGATCATGCAAGAGGAGCTTATCCGCATGATTTCCTTCAATTTATTCCGATGCCTCCCGCCTGCCCCCCATGAGAATTCTGGTTCAGACAGTGGAGATCCCGAGGAAGACGAGGTTTTTGCAGACCCATCTTGGCCCCACTTGCAGCTCGTTTACGAGCTTCTCTTGAGATACGTTGTGTCGTCTGATATGGAGACTCGGGTAGCCAAGAGATATCTTGACCACACGTTCATGCTGAGGCTACTCGATTTATTTGACTCTGAGGACATTAGGGAAAGAGAGTATCTAAAGACTATTCTCCATAGGATATATGGACGGTTCATGGTTCATCGGCCGTTTATAAGGAACGTGATTAATAATATTTTCTACCGGTTTATATTCGAGACCGAGAGGTATAATGGGGTGAGTGAGCTGCTTGAGATACTCGGGAGCATTATAAATGGGTTTGCTTTGCCGATGAGGAGGAGCACAAGCTGTTCCTTGTGCGGGCCCTGATTCCCTTGCACAAGCCTAAGTGTGTGGCTGCATATCACCAGCAGCTGACATACTGCACGGTTCAGTTTGTGGAGAAGGATTATAGGTTGGCTGAAGTTGTTATCCGGGGAGTGCTCAAGTACTGGCCAGTCACTAATTGCGGGAAGGAGGTTCTGTTCTTGGGGGAGTTGGAGGAGATTTTGGAGGTCACACACTCTGTGGGGTTCCAGCGGTGTATAGTGCCTTTGTTTAGGCAGTATCTGGCGGAGTCTTAATAGCCCGCATTTTCAGGTTAGGGAATGACCCGTTAATTTGGTAATTTTTGTTCATATTGTATGTGTATGTAGGTTATCTCGTGTGAAAGTTGGATCAGGTTTTATTATGTTTGGTATGCGTCTGTGCTTGGTCATCTTGTTATGTCTTTCGGCTATATTTCCTCACATGTAATTCCAGGTTCTATGGAATACTGCCGTTGTGGCAGTTCTAGGATCTTAGGTTGTATTATTTTTTGTATACGAGTTGCAATTGTTTTTCCGTAGAGAAGTGTTGAATTTGCATGCTCGAGTTATAGTAATTAATGCAGGTTAGTGATAAGGCAGCTAACCACTTGAAACTCAATAGTACATGGCTTACGTGCAAGCTCCTGCTCTTTGAAAGCACCTGTGTGAGCTTTAGCTTGCTCCTTTCGTGTCAAATATCTTTTTGCCAATTTTAATAACTATCTGTTGTTAGTTTATTTAAGTTGAGAACCTGGGTTCATGGACATGGAACCTGTACTTAAGCTTATTTAGCTGCAATCACTTTCCAAACTCCAAAAGCTAGTGCCTTGTTAGTGTATGCCATTTTCAATTCTAGTCGAATGAATTGTATTAAAAGATAGCATTGAGTGCATGTTTTCATAGACCTTTATTGGCATTGTTTATTTTGTTCGTTGATTTTTATTGTCTTGAGAAGTTTTCCAAATTCGATGTTCCAATCTTGGTCAAAATGTCTTGTTTTCGGGTCTTGCGATGAGAGCAAGTGAAATCAGTTACATGATTATAGAGGTAATTCATGGAGAATGCTTTCTATACATTTTTGCCTGTGTGGAAAAAAATGTACTTTGACGAGGAATGTTCTTTCAGAGTAATCCTCTAGCACTATATGTAGCCAATTCTTCGCATTTTGCTCGTACGGTTTTCAATATCATATGTACTACTCAATGGGTGCTAACTTCTTTTACTTTTTTAATATTTTCGATGGGACTACTCACCTTTTATTATTTACTTTCTCAATTTGTTCTTCATGTTCTTCTGTATTTCAACTGCAAATTCTTGCTTTTTTCACTTTCACTTTTCCCAGTGGCTAAATAATCTTAGATTTCTGACTTTCTCTCTCTTTTTGGGGAAAAAGGTTGCCGAACGGGCTCAACGAGCACATAGTTGGCCTGATTGCCAATAACCGGCACGCGATTCTCCCCATCATATTTGACTCGCTCGATAGCAACATAAGGGCCCACTGGAATCAGGCAATCAACGGCCTCAGCTCTAACGTGCGTCGAATGTTCCTTGAGATGGACAGCGAGCTTTTCGAACGAGGAAAGAGAGGCCAAAGCCTGCGAATGTGAAGAGCAACGTGTGAGGTTCGAACAATTCGCTACACAGGTCAGTTAGAAGAAAAAAAATAAAATAAAAAAAGAGTATTTTTTGAGGAAAATGTCGCATGTGATAATCGTGCATTTTTACGGGAAGCCAGAAAAGGAGAAGGTAATGAATGAGTGTTGCCGATTTTTTATTTTTTAATTTTTCGTTTTTACACGAGGTCTTTCATTTTTTTTGACCAAAATCTTGATCAAGATATCAGTTTTTGGGTTTTAGTATATTTTGTTTGAGGTACTTCAGTTACTCATACCTCCTCTTCTCTGGAAACAAAGGGAAATTTGAACAGAATATCGATGGATATAAGGTTTTAAGACTGTATGTGAGCTTTGTAAATACTCAGATCCTTGTTTTTCTTCGTCTTCTTATTTTCATTTCCCTCCAAAAGGACTTACTTTTTTTTAATTATTTACTTACTAATCTGCTAAATTTATTACACTTTAATATATAAATTTTTATTATTTATTTTTTGGATCAGTTACTAAATTAATTCTAAATTTGGTAGCAAAATATTCAAATATGTAACGGCTAATGTTGGAGCTTAAAATTGATTGGCACTGTAATATTTTGTTGTATTGTTGGAAGAAAAATATTATTGACACATATTTTCTTTTCTAATAATCAGAAACACCAATAATTTTTTTTTATTTATGTTAATTTTCTTAATATATGTCACAAATATATAAATTATTTTATTCATGTTACTAATCTAAAAGTTGCATGGTTAAAATAAAATTTAAATCTTAATTAATTTTGAATGATAAAAATAACTTAAGAAAAAGTAATAATTTTTATATAATAGAAGTACATGTGTAATTAATAAGTACAAACAAAAACGTGTTTTATATCTGTGCAAATGCAAATGATCAAATACTAGTTTAAATGAATATCATGACTTATTTATAATTTCGACTTATATAATTAAACGTTTTAGTTGTATAATAAAATACAAATGTAGATACACCTAGCTAAAAGACAATCGTTCTTTTCTCTCCCTTGACCCGACGAAAACCCTAGCTCTCGACATCCAATCTCGCTGCGATTAGCCTTCTCCGGCGAAGGGGCGGCTCAGGCCAGTGGTCACCCTCGACCGCTCAGCCGTCCCCGCTATCGCGCCTCTTTGGATTTTGCTGCTAAGGGTCGCTCTGATGTGTGCTCTGCCCAAGGTCGCCGGCAAGCTGTGACTGCGGTGGTGTTCGATCTGAGGCGGGTGGTTTCCCTGAAAGCCGGCGATCTTTGATTGGATGGTTAGCCACTCAATTGCAGCGGGTCGATGCTTGGAGGTTCATCGGTTCAGGATGGGCTTCTGGGTTTGGATTTTGGGGCTCGAGCTTACGATGGCAGCGGCCTGCGGGGTGGTGTTGAGAGGCGTATTGGTCGGCGGGCGGTTCGAGGCTCCGGCGGCCGTGATGTATTCCGTCCGGGTGCGGGAGTAGCAGGTACGGGTAGCTCTCTTTCCATCTATTTCTCTGGTGTTGGGAAATTAGTGGGCCCGGCGCCTATTAGCTCGGCTAGTGGTGTTAGGTGAGCTAGTGCGGGGTTGTCGCAGGGAGCTGGTCGTCCTCTCGGTCGAAGGTGGGTTGATTCGGGTTAGTCTCGTGGTCCGGGTTTGGCTTTTGTATAGGCGTTCGGCAGCAGTTTCAGAAGTTGGGCCTCGGGCTTCAGACCTTTCTTGGATTGATTGGTTCTCTACTGGTTCAATCTGCTTTGTTTGCTGGGGAAGGGCACTATGTGTCGTCTTTAGATGTTTTGTTGTCTTTTTAGTTTGTGTTTTTGTCTGTATCGTGTTGTCTGTGTTTGTGTTTTTGTATCTGTGTCCGTGTTGTTTTTGTGTTTTAGGCCTGGGTCACTTGGCCCCTGTGCGAGGGATTACTCCGTTGGAGTCGTCTCACATTACCTCGTTGGGGGTCGTTCCGCAGTTAGGTCGTTGGTGTTGTGTTATTGTGAGTTTCTTTTCTAGCGTTGCTAGTCGTCTCTAGGCGGTCTTTTAGACCTGTCCTCCCAGTTTTATCCAGCTGTTGGCTGTATTATTCAGCCATGGACTGTGTACTTTGTACATTTGTGCGTTTTTGTTATATAATATTTTCTATCGTTTCGAAAAAAAAAAAAGATACACCTAGCTCGACACCAACTATTTATCAAATTATCTATTTATTTGTCTTTTCCTAAAATTCACATGCAATATCTCATTTCCGCGTGTGACAACCTTAGTATCTACCAATTTTTATATACTAAACAATAACTAAAGTGACACAATAATTGAATTCCAAACAAATCTTCCATGCTCATGACATTGCCTCTATTTTTCTTTTTTTCTCTATCTTCAATTCTTTGCCGAATTGTTTGAAATTTGAGTAAGTTCTATAGTGACAATGAGAGTATCGACAATAAACCATCATGGTTGGTTGTAGTTGTATACAAAACTAATATAATTAGAAGAGACAATAACATTAATGTGGTGTTGGGTGGTGCCGCCCCACTCCCAAATATCATGCCAAAGTTGTCGCCGTCATAGCTGCCGCCGCTGCCAGCTCCGGGGATTGTTCCGGCAGCTCCTCCTTCTCCACCACCGGACATGCTAACGGTGTTCCTCCTATAACATCAACACATTTGTCATAATAAGTTTGTGAAATAAAAAAAAATCGTATCAAGAGGCTATATTTCTAAGTTTAAAATATCAAACGTTGTAAATTAAATGGTACATATCATGTATGTATACGAGAAGTATGCCCCAGTGTTTCAAAGATCGAGAAGACGAGAGAAAACAGATATCGACGATCTAAAATGAATCACATAATAGATAATCAACTCGCCAATGTTGATATGATGCAAAATTAATAGAACAACGTAAAAGTACACGACAGAGATGTTGTTAGGTATGTTTAATTGTTCGACAGTTATATGATGCAAAATTAATAGAACAACGTAAAAGTACACGACAGAGATGTTGTTAAGTATGTTTAACTGCTCGACAGTTATATGTTTTTCTTCGCAATAATGCATAATTACAAGTGACATACTGATGGAGACGAGATTATATTGGCCTTCTTGGACAAACATGATTGTTTAACATTATTGGTTTAATTACTTATTTTCTTTATTTATTTTCTTTGTTTTAATATTTGTTAAGGTCGTCCCAGACTTGTTAGGAAACTTATTTATTTTATTAGTCTGATTAGTCGGAAAAAGTGTGTATTTCATATATTCATTAGCATATTTTTATATGCTTAATTTTATCGCACTTATATATTTTTTGACTTATTTATTATTTAGATGTATTTATTTTATTTGATTCTTTTATATTTATTTTCAGCTTATTTGGACTGCTTCTGCAATGTTGTAGCATTAACGATAATTCCAGTTGGCCGGTATTGTAAAGCACCAAACGAGCCCAGTCTATTGCTAGAGTATTATTGGGCCGAAATAAAGGAAAAACACAAAGCCCAACATGCATCCATATGGTGAGAGACCATTCACGCAGGCCCTCATCTATCATTATATAAAAAGATTAACCATTTAACAATTTTAGCAGTTATTTTCCGCCAAATACATTTAATGCCTACTAAATATAGATTTTCGGACATTATTAATCTGTTGGCCTTCAAACTCGGACCTAACAATTTGATCCCGTATGATTTTGAATAGCTATCCTAAAAGATATTTATTTTACAAATATAAAGATAAAGATTATTTTACAAATAAAAATTCTAAAGAAGTATTTGATTCACCAGACTCTTTAATTGCTATGTTGGCCTTCAAACTCGGACCTAACAATTTGATCCCGTATGATTTTGAATAGCACTCCTAACAAATATCTATTTTACAACAATAAAGATAATGATTATTATACAAATAAAAATTCTAAACAAGATTAACTGAATTCTTATAATTGCTATCTTATTTTAAAATAATTTAGGTTATAGTTTTAGTTTTATTTTTTTATTTTTAACAGCCGCATTGTGTAGATGCTGTTTTTCATTTCATCGAGTAGAACTTGGTTCGAAATTTTTAATATTATATTTGAATATTACTTATTTGTATATATTTTTTAGTTTATTTCAATTATTAGCTATCACAATACATATTACTTATTCATACATTACAACATACATTGAATACCAATTTTTCGAACATTTAATCTATACTTATATAAAGAGCCATCTCATTTATTAGAATTAGTAGAAAGAAAAGTCAAAAGTAATTAATGCATTCTATTTCTATCAATTAATTTTTATTTAATTGTTTTTTCCCATAAAATCGGTACAAAAGATAAATGTACGTAAAACAAAAAAAGGCATATTTGATTGGAAGATAAAATCTTGATTTTACACAAAATAAATCAGATGTCAAACCTAAATTGAAGGGTTTGGTTATCTATATAGATATTGATTTACGTAAATCAATACATCTAATATTTATAGTTTGTGTAGATTTAAAATTCCTTCTTATCTTTGTACAAAAAATCTTATCTAATTGTATGGAAAATCTGATCTACGTGATTTCCGTATATCAAGAATTTTTCTTAAAAATCTTAACAGATATTGATTCTACTCTACCAATTATAAATTATAAATCTCAAAATATTGAGTCATCGTCTTCCTCACTTTCAACCTCCTACGAAAAAAATATCCCCAATCAGTATTTCATTCAAAATAATGAATCAATGATTTAGCTTAATCAAACAAGTTAATAGGTCTTTCATCCCAAATAAATATATCCCGTGCCTCGCACGGGTCACGCACTATATATATCCCGTACATTATTATATATATCCGGTACATTTTTCTTTATTCATGTATATAATTATAAGCTAGGATAAATAGCTTTAAAATTGTGCGCCACGTGCATCGCACGGGCTCTGCACTAGTGCAAATTAAAAAGAAATTAGAGAAGAAAGATTCAGCAACCACGCAACATACATATATTTGAGAGGGTTTATTTGGGCAGGGACTATTTTTTATTATTCACGCAAAATCAGAATTGAGGGCCGCCACGCAAAGTCAGCAACAGAGAAGAGAAAAGAAGCATAAGCGAAGAGAAGAGGACTGACGAGGAAGCCCGACGGAAGATCTTTCTATTTATTTTTATTATTATGTTAGAGTAGTTTTTATTTCTAGTTCCGGGGAAGTCGAACCTTACGATTGACTATGTTTTGATTGATTTATATGATTGATGATTTTAACATCTTTTTGGAATTGCTTGTGTTATTTTGAATAATTCACCATGACGTGTTAGTCTTGTTTAGATTGATCACCTAGATTAGGCTTTTCATATCTACATCTGAATTAGACCTGCAATCCGTAATTGTTGTTGTGTTAATTCATAAGAGGTAACCGGAAGATGGTAACTACCGGGGATAACACGGCCTAATTAAGTGAACGAACGCGGTTGAGTTCACTAATTAGTCTAGCCTATTTTTCTAATTCGTAAAGCGGCTAATTGTATTAAATCTTGAAAACGTTTTTTTGGACTGTACAAGAACTCAGGTTTAATCGTAGAGCGTCTCGCGGTTAAATTAGAAATAAGGAAAAATTCGGGTAACTGACCGTGTCGTTGCCTAGGGCTAGTAATTTCATAAGATAGCGAGATTTGATACCAGAATTGATTAGACGAGTCAGTCGAGGGTGTAGACGGAACCGTGAACTAGAAAGTTCTCTTCATTTATTTATTTTTATTTTTATTTTCATTGTTGAGATATTATTTGCTTTATTAAGATTTTAGTTAGTTTAATTATTAAATCAAACCCCCCTTTTTATTGTTTTTATAATTTCAATTAATACAAGAAAATTCACAATTTAATTCACACTCCCTGTGGGTTCGACCCTTGCTCACTACTACTACTAGTTGGTAGAAGTCGGTTAAGAAAAATATAAATTATAATTTTGTCGCGTTGCGACGCGCGGTCAGAGTCATTTACTTGTAGGGCAAGATATTTACTTAGGGTTAGGAGTTCTATGTTACGACTTATCTTCTATTGTTTTGAGGCAGATGAGTTTGAATTTTGATTGAAATAAACACATTGAGAGTTTTCTCTTAATTTATCCCATGCATTTACGTTTTTTGTTATGTCAGTTGATATCAACAAAGCAGTACAATTCCTACGCGATGCTGCCTAAACGGAACAATGCCGCAGATAACAGGCACGACGCCATGATCGAGGCGTTGGGGCGCCAAAGAGAGGCGTTGAGACGCCAATGAGAGGAGTTGGGGATCCAAATCGCGAATCTGACCTCGGTGGTCGAGGAGATCAGATTGGCTCAACAAGTTGCTGCACACGATGGTCGTACGAACCGCGTGCCGAACAAAGTACGTGGCAGCCACAGTGGGGGTGTACGGTGGACGCGGTCGGGGTACTCGCGGGGCTACCCTGCTCCCGATTGCCTCTGTCGTTCTTTAGTGACGATGATCTTGAAGACATCGTGTCCGAGGTAAATTTGTTAGGTACAATGGCGGCGCGAGAAGAGGGCCGGTCCGCTGGTGATCGGCGTTGGAGGTCATCGTTTTGGGTGGAGAACCCCGAATTTTCTGAGGGCCTAGAAGACACCTAATTCTTGGATGAGCAGGAGTTGACCGAATATGAGGGTCCGTCTCATTTTTATGACGAGGGTTCGACCGCACCTCTTTTTGATGTCGAGGGTCGACCGAATATGAGGGTCTACCTCTTTTTGATGATGAAGCACACGTGATGGGGACATCGGCCTGACACATCTTCTTCGTCGAGGGGATTAGCACTGTCCGAATTTTGTATGCAAATTCTATGGAGATGCTAGTGGAATGTATGCTCAAGGAAATGATGGTGTTGCTGATGAACTTACTAGATGCAACTTCTGTGGGAAAAAAACTCACACATCGTGCAGTGTAGAGGTTCATGATCTCCCAATGAGTTCACATGATGGATCTTTCCGTGGGCTGAAGTGCCATGAGCTCTATGGTCATCAGCAAAATCTTGGTGTTAAACATGAATTGGAAGATGGATTTTCATGGTCTTTTATTCAACAAATAGATGTGTCAGATAACACGCATCGTATACCCAAAAAGGACAAACTGCAGCAGACCATTTACTTTGGATCATTGAGTACATGGGAATTTTTTTGAAGCTTGGGGAGTAACGATTATAGATTTTCTACTCGTGAGTATACCAAGTTCACGGCCCGTAAATTGGCCCGATCGAGATTGTGGAGACGAGTTTGCGCTGGATTCAAGGACAAATCATTTTCGAGAAGGAAAGAATGATGGAGACGAGATTGCGTTAGCGTTTTTGGACAAACATGGTCGTGTAATATTATTGGTTCTAATGAGACAATGGAGGGGCAGAAGCGGGCATTCTTACCACCAAGTTGAATGAGCTAACTTGGAAATGGGAAAAAGTTCTTTTCTCATCGTGGCCCGGAGCGGCTGTCAAGTGGGCTAGAGGACAATGAAACTAGTGGGCTGGGCCCACATTTCTGATTCTAACTAAAGTGGCCCACAAGTGGCTCAAAGGCATGGATGATATGATAGATCGAATATAAACACCTTCTTATTCACACAAAACCCAGAAAAATTTATCCACAATCTTTAAAATGTCTTTTCCTAAAGAAAACTAATAATATAAGTAGTTTTTTTCATAGGTCTTGGTTAGAATATTTACACTTCCGTACTCAAGTGTCCATTTTAAAAATACAACATAAATAAAAATATAAAATTCATAGTTAGAAATATGCAATTTTTGAAAGAAAGAACGAGTATTGGATGACTTAATTAATTATGATAAAGCTGACAATAACATTTGTGTTTTCCCACGAAATGACTTTAGAACGAGTGCACAGTACAAACGAAAAATTTCTTAATTTTTGAGATTCATTTTCTGAAGCAAAAATTTGAGATTCATTTTAATTTTTCACTGTTTGCAAAACACTCGCATAAAATTCTTGTACTTTGCACTTTTGGCTGTAAACAAACAGTGTCCTAGATTCCACCTTTTGGTCTGAAGGGGTTAGAAATAGAAAGTTATTGGAAACCATAAAATGGTTGCCCCATTGAATGTGTGAACATGTAAAGGAAAAAGCCCCCAAAAGGCAACTCAAGATAGATTCTTAAAGTATGGCATTCAACATGTAGATCAAAATGTGCCCTATTTTGTTACAAGTGTTTGTGTTCTTAAAGTTTTAACCAGCGATTCACATGAATTTGGGTTGGAGGATTATGGTAAACTCATGTCACGCTTAGAGGTTTTTCCGAGTTTAGTATTTAACCCATCACAATCTCCTCAAAACTCATAACGACACTTCGAAAAAAGATCCATTGCAAGATATCATATACTATAGAAACACTAGGAGTCACATTGTCAATCAAGTGGCGATTCGATTCGAGGATGTAAAAGAAAAGAAAAAACCAGAAATGAAAAGGATGCAAAAAGTCACAAAAGTGTGATGCATGTGATACAAGCATCTTCCAAAAAGCTTCATAAGATCGTGAGTAAGGACACAAAAACCCTTCAGGGATGAGACATATGCCGATGAATTCACTAAGGCTATGTTTGGTAAACCTAGCTGAAAAGTTAACTTATAACTTTTAAGTGACTTTTGCTTATGACTTATGGTTGAAAAGCTAACTTATATGATAAAAATGTTCGGTCAAATTAGCTAATAAGCTAGCTGAAATAAAAGTTTCAATTGACTTACTTGAAAAACTACCCAAGTAAGCTTATGAGATAAGTTCGAAATTCTTAATCTAATTAAATAAACTATAAGCTAACTTATATGCTTACCAAACACAATCGAACTTTATTCGGTGAGAAACTCAAGGAAATATACGTGTGTTTGTGTGTGTATATGCACGCACGTACCTTGGGCTTCCAAGAACTCCGGCATTCATAGTGAGTTGGTCGATAAGGGTAACCGACATGGGCTCGACACTTGAGGCCTTGGCATATTGCATGTTGAGCCCTTCACCCGATGGGACGAAAAACGCGCCATTTACCATTATGTCCCCATCCGTTCTCCAATTCCACCCGGCCCACTCCCCCTCGTCTGTGTCCACACGCTTTGTTACCTTTTTTTTCAAGTTATCGAAAGAGATGCGTAAAATTTTGTAATAAAAGAATCCATTTGCATTCAAAATAATTCACTTAATCAAGGGATGTGTTAGATTTCATTCACATTTGCTGCTTTTTTTTGGGGATTAAATTATCCAATTTTATTGCTGATGGTGACAACTGACAAGAACAGATCTTTGAACTTGAGGGTAATTTGTAAAGTTGTATAATCCAAGTTGGGGGAAAAGCTAGGATAACTAATCTGAAAAAGAAATCAAAAGGGCCCGCATTAGGTGAGTGATTGTCTTCATTAGTTCATCACATGAATGCAATTTGAAAACATACTATGATTGATAACATACATAATTAAACATCATATTCAATGACCTAATTCAAACTTTATGCATCTAAGATTTGATTTTCCTACCAAATCTTAAGGCCCCTTCACCCGTTCTTTTCCCCCCCATTTCAAAACATCCAATGCATGTGATCAGCTCAAATTCTCATGCAAGATTTGAGAACAAGAAAGTCAAGATTCACATAATCTTCACACAATAATATATACACATGTTATTACTTTTTTTTTCCCCCCTAATTGCATAAACAAATTATGCGAAAAGTTAAAACGACGATTACCTCCTTCGCGTTAGGATCTCCCGGCGCAGTATAACGATTGCCTTGGCTATTAATAGTCGGGCTCGCGCTTCCCCCAATTGCGTACATTTGCCACTCGGTAAAATCGTTGTTCACCACATGAATGTATCCCCTTCTGCACCTCGGCATTCTCTGCACTAATCCTTCCCCAAAGTGATTAAACGCTATAGTCACCTATCCGTTAATTCGTCATTCAAACGACACGCCAAAAAACCGTAAAAAAAAAAAAAACCGCCTATCGAAACAAAACCGTAAAAAGTGTCTTAATGAAATCAACAACCCCAAACCTGCATTCCTGAGTCGGGCAAGTAATTATCGTTGTGCCCAAGCAACATAACCTCGTCGTGGTGCGAAAAATAGCTATTCGAAATCGTGATGGCGGTCGACCCCATAATGGCATCGATCAACCCGTCGGTGCAACGCGACAAATCACAATGGTCGATCCAAATGTTCCTCGACCCGAAAATCGAGATCCCGTCGCCATCCGACTTACCCCTCCAACCTGCGTGCTCCGGGCTCGACCGCACGATGGTGTGGCCAGAAGGGGTACAACCGTAAATACGCACGTTGTGTATGATCACATTCGTCACCCCTTGCAACGTGAAGCAACCGTTCCCAGTTACGTGCACGTGGGCCCCACGGCCGTCGATCGTCTTGAAGCTATTGAAGATGAGCTCGTGCCTTAGGCGGATGAGCATGCTCGATTGGAACACGATCCATAGGGGCTCGTCTTGGATGACGGCGTGGCGGAGGGTTCCGGGAGTGGGGTTTGCAGGGTCTCGGTCGGAAGAGTCGCTCACGAGGTAGTAGCGGCCGCCCTTGCCGCCGGCGGCCGACCGGCCGAAGCCGATGGCGCAGTCAGCCAGGCGCTGGCGGTCGGCCGCCCAATTTGGGTCGCACCGCCAGCAGTCGTCGATAGGGTTGCCGGTGAGGCATTGGGCCGGGCCTGAGAGGATGAGCTGGCGCCTTCTTGATATTGAGGCATTGACTAACCTAACAAACAAAAAAAAGGCAAAAAAGGAAGGGGAAAAAGGAAACAGAGTGAAAACAGGGGATGTGAAAGATGAGAATTGGTTTGAAATAATGAAAACTTGTCTGAAGATGAAATGAGAAAAATAGGAGGGCCCATATGAAAATTTGAGTGCGAAATTTCTGAATAAATAGAAAGAAAACAAGAAACGTCACCATGAGAGGAAACAGGGGAATGACTTAAGAAAACAGGGCATTACAAGAGCATTAGAATTAGAGGGAGGCATAAACTTCACCTAATTGCATAAACCCATGAATGTAATCACTTGAAAACATTAAATTTATAAAAAAAAGTGATAAATATTAAAACTCAGATGGGCTTTTGAGCTGTGTGTATTAATTATTGTATATATAGAGACCACTTGTTTGTATGAAAAATATTTTTACCTTTGAACTTCTTGGGCTTCAGCTTCTGGGTTGGGGTGTTGATGAGGGAGGGTGAGATTGAAGAAAATGGTGGACGAAATCGATGAAGAGAGAGAAAATAAGAGGAGAGAGAAGAAAAGAATGCTGGCTTGAGAAAGCATTCTTGGGGAAACAGAAGAAGAAGAATGAAACAAGAAAAAAAGAAATAAAATAAATATTGAAATTAGAGATGGAGGGTTTTTGTGGTGTTGTATCTCTTTTAGGGATACTCCAAAGAAAAGAAAAGATTTCTTGCTTCCTTTAGATGGGGGTTTTAGGGGGGAAATGTTATGATGATGGGTTATGTATAAACTAATCTTGGTATTATGAGCTCTGATAATGGTTTTTCATTTCTTGGAGCAATGATATAAAGGAATAAAAGTAAATTGAATAATAAATAAACAAAAATGAGAAGGGTTTGTTTGCTTTCTTGGTAGGGTTTAAGGATGGTGTTGTGTTCTTTTCTTCGGTTCATAGACAAAATTGTGCACCTCATGAACAAGTCATTTAAGCACTTTTCACATTGAGATAACACACTTTTATTTTATGTGTTGTAAAATGCATTTTACACTTGTTTGAATTATTTTATTTTTATTTTTTAAAATGAAAGAGAGAAGAGGTTCTGGATGGATGATGTCAGTTGGTGCACTTGCAGCGGGTTTTATGGATGAGAGAGAATAGTTTTTAATTTATTCCTTTGAGAAGGCGGCGCCATCAGGCTCCTCAAATTCCTATCTTGTAGGCAAACTATAATACTCCTATAATTTATTATATTATACACAATTTTTTTGCAAAAGAGAGCTTCTTATGATGAGACTGCAACCGAGTCTATCTGTTCACGAGCGCTTGAGTCAATGTTCAACTTGAATTCAATAAAACTCGAGTTCGAATCGAGCTCAAGCAGTTCAATCGAGTAAATGAGTCGAGTCGAGTCAAGTCAAGTGTGGATTATTATTTCAAGAGCCTCCTAAGTTCGACGAGCCGCTCGACTTTTTATTTATGTAAATACCTCATATACTTTAATAATCAATAGAACACCAAGACCAAAATTGTCTATTTAGAATAAAAATATTATATTTATATTTAAAATTTAGTTGTTAAAAATTCGAACCGAACTCGAGCCATGTCGAGCATCGAGTCGAGCTCGAGCATTTTTAATTTTTTCACGAGTCAAGTCGAACACCATTTTACATGGCTCGTCGAGCTTGAGCTCGAGTAGTGAAGAAAAAAGTTCGATATACGCTCGAGAACATCCATGCTCAACTCGACTCGTTTGCAGTCCTGCTCACAGTTATGTGAGTCGACCCATTCTACTAA